TCTCAGATGCAAAAATCTCAAATGCCACAAATTGCAAAAAATTTTGCAATATTATCAAAATAATACTTATATCGCTCTATAAAAACCGCCTGTGAGCTGTGGCTGCAGCAATTTTTATGCCGATTCTGAAATACTCCGGTCATACAAAAGTACTCGATAGCGCAACGTCGGCCGACAGAGAGTTCACTGTAACATCGCGATATCGACGAAAGGGCGTAAGTCGACTTAGCCCGAGCGCAAACTCGGGCATGGCCGAGGTCATGGGATCGAGACGAAGAGAGTCGATGGGGCTAAATGGGACGGAATGAAAACGGTGCTGCGCGGTGCCTCGCCGTTGTAGTCGTCGTCGCCGTCGTCGTCTTCGTTGTCACAACCGTCGCCGGCGACAACGACGAAGGCGACATCGGCGCTCTCGCATGCACAGCCGCCCCGTAAAATCCGTGCGGATTAGCGATCCACTAATATATCCCGCGGGCGTAAAAACGCGCGCGACGAGGCAGCTGAGATATTCGTTCCCGTCGTCGTCTCCCCCTCGCTGTAGCAGGACGGGCCCGGTTTGTCTTTGGCATAAAATAACTCGAAGCGCGGGGAAAAGTAATAAATTTGTGAGTTACAACCTGTCTTGTCGTCCCTCTAGTTACCATCCTCCCGCCCACCCTCCTCAACGCCATCCTAACTCTCGCTTTTCTTTATTCTTTGTCCGCTCAACCGTTCGTTGTGGTTTGTCCCTTTCTTCTCTTGTCCCCCTCACGCTTTCATAGACCGAATTTCGACTTTTTCTGTGTGAAAACACATGCGACGCAACGCGACACTTGGTGTGAAAGAACTCGCCGCACGCCTTTCTACCTTTCTCTCATTCCCGGAAAGGGTGACAGTTTTGAATGTGCTTTCGCCAGTTTTCTACAAATAACGCTCCTAGTCTTCTGTTTAATTTAAAGTTTTTTACATTTATGTAATATCCATCAGTTTTGTTAAAGTTTTATATTTATTCGTGTCGCATTCGAAACTCGCGCGATATTTTTGACAGACGGTCCAATGCAGGCTTCGACTGCGTCGGCGAGGAAAAAGGTCCATATTGTTTCGACGTTTTCAGGTCGAGGGATCAATATATGATCTCTCTCTCTTCGAGAAACGAAATGTTCGAGCGCGCGAAAGGGATCGGGGTGTCGAACATGTTTGACAGGACGGGGTGGAGAGTGTCGGGGACCACATTCCGCCCTCTCGGGATCCTCTCTCATACCCGCGGTAACTCCGCCACGAATCCGTGGTGGCCGCCGGCGGACAAGTATACAGCCGTCAAACGATACGACATCTTAAGCCTCCGAGAACTCCGCAGGGGATCTCGTGGGAACGTGCGCGTTAGACACGAAGAAAGTGTATCCACGGAACGATACTCTTGAAAAATCATCGCGTTACGTTTCACACATTGTTTATTTATTATTATCAGATGGAAAATATTTGCAAGACGTATAACTTGCCGCGCCAAATTTGAATTTTGTCCTCGAATTTCGATTACTCAATAAGTTCGGAACTTTAGAACTGTGGAAAACAAATAATTTTATATTTATGCATGAAGAAGCGCGAAATTTATTTTATGATGTCTGTTGTGCGAATATATTCTTTACAAATTCTTTACAAATGTGTGAGACCAAATTTGTTGCCTAGGTAATCGAGGATCCAAACTCAACGCGACCCATCCAAATTCGAACCAACTATCGCGTACCTGAAAATATCGAACACTCGCAATCCTAATTATAAAAAGTGTTTTCGAGAAGGTAAAGTACGATATAAAAGCACGGTCATCGATGATACAACATCGTACATGCGTGTATCCATTCGCGCGACATATTGAAGCGTGAGAGTTGGTGCTCTATAAATTTTACTCGGTGAGTAGGTCGTTCGAGTAGTGTTAGTCAGCTCACAGTATAGATTATGTGATTAACTCTAATCTTGAAATAATATACAAGCAGCGGCGCGTGGGAGATTTTGTCGGTATACATTATCTTTATCGAAATGAGAAAGGTGAACGTACCTCGGTTAATATTAATATTTAAATACCTTCAGTATTTGTAAACAAAGATCCTTAAATTGTCAGCATCGTATTTACTTTAGCTTTAAAGGTCCGAAAAGATACAAATTATAAGATAAAAAATGTGAATGTTTTATTTTACGTTTACGACGCATTAAAATATTTACTTTCCGAAAATTATTACTAGCAATTTAATAAGTAAGAATCTGTGAACCATTTTGAAACCACTATTTGCTTATTTGCCTGAAAAGGATTTGATAACGCGGCAGCATTTCGGCACGTTTGTCCTTCTTCGGGGAGACTAAACCTTGGTAAACAACCTTCGTTTCGAACACGAGCTTATCTCGGTATGCCTATTTGTAAGGTAATACTTTTACACGTGTATTGGTGGATCAAGCGATCATTTAAGTAAACGATTTGTTTGCAATCTAAAGATTAGAAGATTATCTTATAACCTATGCGCCAATATCGATCTTTCAATCGTTTTCTCAGGTGTGTTGTGCGCGGTTTAAAAAAAATTCCAAATATGTTTCAAGCGACGCTATCATTTCCACGCTTTTCGTATGGCATAATACGCATGGTTAAGCTTCGTCTCGATCGAAATCACGCTGCGCTTTGCATCTTGCATAATTTCGTTGTCGTCGCAGCTCATCCGCTCTTGCATTTCGTCGGCCGGCAAATTAATCACGAATTCCGACGGGTGAGAAGCATTCGCGAGTTGCGTTCGTATACGCGAGAAAACATGTCTTCATGACGCCATCAGAATCGGTATAATTTAGCATTCAACACAGATCAGTCGTCTGTTAGAGAGTGCAAGTAAAAATAAAATACAAAAAAAAAAGACACTTTACCCTCATCATCGCGAATAAATATAGACATCATTTCCGCATGTCTGCATCGAGATCCGAACTCTCACCGAAATTATACCGGCTTCTCCGTTATTAAAGCGATAAATAACGGTAATGAATGTGTAAACATACACGACGCGGCCATAACGAATGCGTGACGAGAATCCGCGTGCACGATCGCGTGGCGGTGCCCAAGCGGGATTGATTTATGCGACGCGAAGTCGCGATATTCGTCAATATCAATTTCGCACGGCAGCGTAGCGATTTTCGCCACATTCCCCGCTCGTAGGCACCTTTCTACGAATTTATAGCCGCGCTATAAATACAGAATGTCCCCAAGAGAAATCCGCTAGCCCTCTGGACCATGTTGCTCGTGCGATTTTTGATCGAAAAAGTCATGTCAGCCTAGATGCGAATGCGAAATAGAGTTCGCGAAATATTTGTTGTACTTTCTTTAATGAATCTGCCAATGATTTGATACTGTCAACTGCTTCGCACATGTCCGTCAACAGTTTTGACGACTTCCTCAATTATACCGCGCGAACTATGTAACTCGCGAACAACACGTAAATTAGTGTCGCAAAACAGACGCCCGCTAAATTATTGCACGCGCCGACAAGTACGTTTTCCGTTGCCAAAAAAATTTTTCGCACTTGCTCATAACGCATGGACGTGCTGAAATGGCGCCGTGATAAACTATATTGACCAAGGTGTCTACCAAGACCACGTCACAACTTTGCTTGAAATAAACACGGGTGACACATAAAGGAAATTTTCTTTAAACTATTTACCATTTCATCGTTAATCGCTCGTAAATAATAGAACAAAAAATATCGGATTAAAGATTGATTATATAAAACTTGCACAATATTTAATCACAACAATCGTATTATTTGAGATATCTAAAATATGTCTATCCAATACTGTTAATCTTAAGTATACATTCTCTCATATCTAAAAATTGAAAACAATAGATTGCAACAGTAAATAACTCCTTTTTTCTAAGAATCTTAAAAAGATTACTTTACATTTATATTTAATAATCATTCAGATTAATTTTTTAAAATTCTTAAAAAGATGAGATCTATAATTTATTCGTTGAACTGCATTACTCTCAGTAGACTTGACTAATTGGAAAAAAATCAGTTTAAACGTGCTTGAACCTTCGCTGTTGAAATATCGCGAGGATTTCCTTCTGTTCCGTGCGTACACGTCGGCCGCGACACATGTGCGCCGCACATACACTTGGCAATATCGAGGAAGAGTGACACGCGCGACTTCGTGGTTCGTAGTAGACTCCGCGGCACTAAATCAGCCCGAGTTATGCGCCGACTAATTGTGAACCACGTCCCTCCTCTTTACCGCCCCCGTGGAAACCAAATATAACTAAACGGAGCGAAACTAAACGACCGAGCCGATTAACTTCTCAGCCCGCCCCGCGTCGCTTCGCACGCACACGGACGCAATACACACCGGGCAAAGTGTGGAAAGAAGCAACGTAAAATCCTTCTCTTTGCCTTTTTACCCGCGTGCTCCTTCGCCGGTAGATAAATAGTCGTTGATTGAGGGACGCTTTGCCGCAACGAGACATAATCTTTCATTTGAGTTGGCAAGATACACACGTTTATTAATCATTCCATTCACGCGAATTATTTGATGTACTGTTATTATGAGAAAGAATAATCTAAAAGTTTTTGAACGGCTGTATTTCGCGATGAGCGCAATTAAAAGATTTTTTAACGGCGTATTAACTTAACAAATTACTAACACATTAGTGGAAAATTTAAAGCAAACATAAAAAGTAGATATAAATAAATTTTCCACTTATTTCAAATAAAAAATAATAATTTTAGCAAGGCGCCGATTAATTTTTTCTGAATGAATCAAAATTGTTAGATCATAACAATAGAGATTTACACAATGAATCAGTATTCGTCGAATCATGATTATCTTAACCATTCGTCTTGAAACAGCATATCATTCATGTCACGAAATCATGTGAAGATGACTTAGCGGAACGCAGAAAGAAATCCTCTAATTAACGAGCGCGGCCTCAGCCGAAAATAAATAAGGATTACCGCGCGCCTAGACGACATTGCAAGAGGGTGTGATGTGTTTTGCAGTCTGGGCACAGAGTGACTTCGGGGACGAAACCAACGGGGGTCTTGCAAGACTCGACACGGGTCATGGTGCCCACACTCCCGGCGGTAGCAACCCCAGTACACCGGGTGCGACCCCAACGACACCGTCCGGTGGATACTCCACCGGTCAACCGAGGAATCGCGCAAACACCACTCACAGGCAGGATATCCGAAAAGGTACGTTTCGATATAGCGCAAAAATATCATTTTCCTAGTAGTTTGTTTTTCGAGATAAAAAATCGTAAGTTAACTAATTATTATACTTTGTATTGTAGCATGAAACTTTTGATTTTTACATCATAGGCTGTTAAATTGCTATAATTTTATCATTAGTCATCCAATAATATTATTGATTTTTATATATTTTGAAGATAATATTTTTACAAACAATACAAGATATAGCTACGTGATATCTCCTATATCCATGAGCACACATACATATTACGAAGTTCGACTTAGATTCTGTAACAAGGGAGATGTATTTGTTCGAATCAAAATTTAGATCACGGAAGGGAGAGGAGTTTTGTGGGATCCTCTCGCGTTTACACGAAGTTCCGGAACGAATGCATCGGAATAGTAGATAGCGGCGAGTGGGAGGAGGCGCGGAAAAGGTCGCTTACGTTTGTTTGCACGTTTGTTCGGCACTTAGCTGGAACACTCACACCCGTGGCCCAAATCCCCGCAAATTGAAATATCTCCCGGAGTCTTATGTTCCCGGTTAACAACAAACCCATCGCGGATCCCACTTTGTTCGTTGTAATACCAATAGAGACGCCAATTTCTCCATGTGCTTTTTACGCGAGTTCGTCAAATTTCCGTCACAAGATGCGGAGATTGCGTACATGCAAATGAGTTATAGCCCGACGAATTAAATATACATAATGAGAGACGACATTTCTAACAATATAGAACTAATTTGAAATTTAATGACAACTAGATTAAATCAAATTAATGAATATACTTTATAATGTGTTCTACTCATTTACGAAAGAACGATTCAAGATCTAAATTCAAATAAATTCTAACATAAATCTTTCACTGAAATTTTCAATTGTAATTTTACTGCTTCTATGATGTTACATTGTTCTTTTGAAGGACTCTTAAATGAAGTCCTATCCGAAATCCAATTAGTGGTTTCGTCGAGGATGTGATATCTTAACACTTTCAGGTGTACGAACACCACCAGAAGTAAAACACGAATTGGGTGCCGCTGGTGGTGTTGTTTCACCCAGTGGAGTGGTCGGAGTCAATGATACTGACGACAAGGACGGGAAGAAGAACAAACGACAAAGGCGACAGAGAACGCATTTTACGCAGCATCAACTCCAGAATTTGGAGATGACGTTTATGAGGAACCGGTATCCAGACATGTCAACCAGGGAAGAGATAGCATGCTGTACGAACCTTACGGAAGCTCGAGTCAGGGTAAGAATTTATTATAATTAATACTGTTAAGCTTAAACTTCTGCTTTTAAATGATCACAAACATTCTTACTTGAAATGGGTTTTCGTGAAGAAGACAATTCAAGTAGCGATGGAACGATTTTGTTCCAAAGTTTAAATTTGTTTCATAATTTACCTTACTAATGCAAATTTGTCGACAAAATAATAAAGAAAAGAGTACGCATTTAATAAATTAGTAAGAGCTAATAAATAATTTAAATTTGTCTTAATAATTCAATTTGTATGATTTAGATCGGTGTTTATCGATGCTTTTCAATGTAATTGGATCGAACATTTGTGTTTATTTTCTGAAACATTAGCTTTAGAATTGTCTTCTCGGAAATCGTTTGAAGAAAGTGAGAAATATAACAGCAATATTAGAGTGATGTTTAAAAATTTGAGCTCGCGAAGAATAAAGTAGTAACAGACGCTCACAATGGATGCATTGAAGCTTTAAAAGTATCGATTACAAAGACAACAATCCGCTGACTGCGGATATTTCTATGTCTTGTATCAATAAAGTCTGCAAATGATTTTTATGAGATTGAAATAATAATGAAGTTTTAAATGTTAAACTAATTAAGGTTTTCTTTCGCAAGAATTTTTTTTAACAACTTCTATTCAATTATTTCATATAAATAAATAAAAAAATATATTATAAATTAACTATCAAATAATTCATGCATTATTATACGAATATGCAATATTATACTATTATAAAGTGACATTGCTGAAAAAAGGCCCGCCCATCTATAATAAAAATTCTACCGTAAGAATTCCAAGTTTTAAAAATTTATACCTAATAGTAAGTCTCGTGCGCAAACGCATTCTTGCTGATTTGAACCGTATATCATTGCAATGATACAAAACACGACAAACGCTAATAATATTTCCCCGGACACTAGCCTCTCTCTGAGATTACAAAAGGAAGACGCTTCGTCGCGACGAAGTGGCGGCTTACACTACAGAAACTAGACCGTTAGAAAGTTCGCAAATCCGAAAGCACTTTGTAAATCCTCCCGCCGCAGCGTATCCGCGACTTGATTCGCGAACAAACGACGGATCGCGCGCGGTCGAAGTCCGAGAGACTTCGGAGCGGATCAAGCGAACTGGCTGGACATGCTTCTCGAAATCCCGGCGGCCTGCTTAGGTTCGGCCGAGGTGTTCCGGTGGATGGTCCGGCGTCGCGAGACAGCAAAGCGTGGACGAAGTGTGCGTGGACAAGTCACGGGGCAAGGGGAGGGGGGGGAGAGGGTGGACACCGGGGAAGAGAGCGGGCAGATAGGAGGTCACACGGGGAAAGAGGTGAGAGTGCCGCGCGCAGGCCGCAGGGGAGGCTTTGCGCCAGTAAGCCCCGGTGGATTTATAGAACCACACACAGCGTGGTACGGTGTTCCCGCCACGGTGCTATACGCCATGTACCAAAACGCTGCAGATCCCCGGTCGCCGCGGTGCCGCTCGTTCGCAAACTCTAACGCCGTTATAGAGACATTCTTCATTTTAAACCTCTACTCGCATGCGCTTGCTTCAAGTATGACGTCTTACCGCGCGACCTTCATTAACGCAGAGTTTAAGTTGTATTCTTCGACGTAATAAAGGATATAAAGCTGAACTTCGCGCGAGATGCCTATGCTTACGTTTAAATTTCATTACAGAGAGAGAGACTGCGCTATTTCGTAAAATAGAAAGACTATGGTTAATATCTTTTACAAATTGCTAACGAAATTTTATCGCACTCCGTAGAATTGTATTATAACGAATAGCAAAATTCTTAGCTCGGCGCGAAGAAAATTTTAGAATTTCGTATTTTATAGTGGTACCTTACAGATTTGCAAATTAAATTCTACAAGAAGAAGGCTCGTATGATAATCTATCAAATATAATATAATACTGGCTACGGAGCCGTCGCGGTTGTTGCGAAATAATTTATTTTTCATATTGAAATTTATTCGTCTACATCGAGAGTACATTAAATTGTACACCGATCTGAGATTCGAGATACTTTTAGAGTGTACGAAAATATTTAAGTACGTTGATCTCACAACGGAGAATCAGAATGTACAAATTAAATAAGAAATTTAAAAAAAGGAAGGAAGAGCGAGAAAAAATATCAGAGATACTAAAAGTATCTCGAAGCTGAGATCGGTGTGCAATTTAATATCTCGATGTAGACGAATAAGTTTCAATATGAAAAATAAATTATTTCGCACCAACAACCGTGACGGCTCCATAACTAGTATTATATTATACTATTCACAAATTTGTTTTATACTCAGTCGTAATTTTAATTATCACGCGCTATCCTTAGAACAAGGCAAATCACTTAATTGATGTGGCTTTACTTTGGTTCTTCGTATAAAATAACTCAGTATAATGTGTAATATCATAGAAATTTCTGGCACCAGATAAAAGATGCAGAAATGTCATATTGAAAAGGAGCATGAGAGAGAGAGAACAGCCGAACAGTCGACAAGAGGAACAGGACGAGACAAAATAGGGGGAGAGAGAGAGAGAGAGAGAGAGAGAGAAG